CGGCTGTGAAGTCTCGTGAACGCGATTGGGAGCGCCTTCGCAGCTACTTTGCATGGTTGCCCAAGCTAGTCATCCAGAAGAACTCGGAACACTACTTGGAAGACTCAACTCAACTAGCTACGATAACCACTATAGATATTACAGTATTGGCGCCTTCCAACTTTGTATCTACTTCTAGAGCTCGTCACCAAATCCGAGCCAGGCAATGCCGCAGTTTCCTACTTGCTGGAAAGTAGAGATGCAGCACACGCCATGGCACTGAATCGCCAAGCTAAAATGATAGTATCATTGCGCGGTCTCCAGGCCTATACCACCAATGTGCTTGTAGCGGAGCTAACCAAAGTCTTCACTTCGATGGCACAACTACAATAAGCTCAAGCGACAATACAGTCACATATGGGCTCACTATGACTACAATCAATGGTATAGATCTTTGTCACTGTACATTGGCAGTGAGCGACTTCCTCCATTGGACATACATTGATGACTGGACAACTTTGTCAACTGGACGGAAGCAATTTGAACGAAGACTACTAGCTAAGACTGAAATGGTAAAAATTATCCACTTAGCAACTTGTCTATGTACCAACGCTTTCTACATGAAGCAATCGACCACTTCAACTGAAGACCAAATGGATTCTGACCATATGGGGAGCAGACCACTGGTCTGCTGCAGACCAGTGCTCAAAGGCAATGAGCCACTCCTTGATGGCTTGCCTCATCATATAACTAAACAGTACAAGACGAAATTGTACAAACTACACATATGGCATACCTTGTTGCCGTTACATCATGTGAGCGAAGTTTTTCACCTGAAAAGGTTTTCTTTGCCTCATATTGATGAACCCAAGACTACTAGGACTGTTGTCAGCAGCTCACCAAGACCTAATACAAAACGAGACAAGCGACATGTTGTACTGTCGTTTCATCGTGTTAGAGAGGCTATTGCATCCAATACGCTCTCCTTTCTACACATCACTCACTCACCCATTTGGGGAGCGACAGAATTACAAAAAAAACGGTTTCCTGATGCGGACCAATACGACTCGTATGTTAGCGCTCTTATGGGTTTTACAGTCATTTAGATATAATGACGTGTTGTCGGATGAGAACAGTTGGAACTTTGTGCACCAAGCGCATGTCTTTCACAAATTCGGGAGTAAAACAATCTCTCAGGAGCATTTGTCTCAATTCCTTATCCACAGCATCTTTTCCATCCTTTTGAACTTCTTCAGTCCTGGATTGATCTAACACTGTTGAATGAAGTTCAGACCTTCATCAGTATCAAACTTTGCCTTGATCTGCATCATGCAACGAGCGATCAGAATAGCGTCGTGCTCTTCATAATCTGCTTTCATCTCATTCCCAATCTGTTGGAAACATAGATTGTGCTGTGTTTCAAGGATAGCTTTACTGTCTTTAGTACTGCGACTTCCCTCTTTGGTACGAATATCAGACTTCAATTTGTCCTTTAACGGTTTCATTTCCCTCTCTCGATGCTTGCGTCTTGTCGCAACTCGATTCTTGTTCTTATTCGTAGAACTGCCACTCCTGCTCGAAGGCCATTCTCTTGGTTTCTTTGGAACCTGAGAAAGGTTCAGCCCTGACATTGTAGCTTGCGCAGACGTTTGCCAAGATCGAGTGACTTTTGCTATTTGAGGCGTTTCAGACTCAAATACAATCTCTTCTTCTGGCGGTTCTTGTAGATCCTCCAGATCAGTAACGAGGCTCCCAATATCATCGGTTCCTAATCGGATCATCGATATCATCGAATATTGACATTATCAATGAGCTGCTGTGGACTGAAATGTGGGGAAATACTGTCTTTCTGGGGAAAGACATTCAATAGCTCGGCGGCTCGACGTCCAAGACATTCAGTGATCACCTTTGGGACCACTTTGTAGGGTAATCATGCGAGAGCTACTCTAACATTACTCTAACCCTGTAGGGTAATCGTGCAAGAGCTACTCTAACTCTCTCTTTCAGCGTCCGATTGTTTCGCTCAGCTGTAGGCTCGTGGTCTCCAGCTGCAGTCGGGTCAATAGTAACACCCATATCGTCTAGCATATCATCCGTAAGAGGAATGAATGCCCGATCACACTTGA